GGGGCTCCCCACTTTTCTTCTTCCTGCAGCCCCCTTTTCCCAGTGCCTTGGGTCCCAAACCCACAAACAGCCCAGAGTGGGGAAACTGCTCCCAGAGAGGGAGCAGCCGCTCTGCCTCCTTCAGCCCTCTGGGACCAGCCTGGCCAGGGTGCAGACCGAGAGTGCGGCCCCACCTGGAGGGGCCCACAGAAGACCCTGACCGGGCAGGGCAAGAGTCGGAGCTGGGAATGGCTCCTCTGGACGGCAGGGGCAGCGCACGATGCCTCTCTCCTCTCTTCCAGCAGCCCCTTCCTTGGAGGGGACTCGTTTTTTGCTATTCACTTCCTTCGTTTAGTTTCACGTCCGCTTCCTTCTTCAAAGGTGGCTCCAGATAGTGCATCCCGAAGCTAATAGGCTAAAAATAGCCACAGCTGCCCAGCGCTGAGAGAGTCTCGCCAGCAGCAGCTGCTGCCTTGGTGCTTCCCCCACCCCGCGGGTTCAGCCAGTCCTCCCCACTGTGGGGTCACCTCAGGACGTCCCCTTGGGTGGCTTGGCCCCTCCCCCAGCATTTCTGCCACTCTGCGCCTGAGCCCCAGGAATCTTCCTTGGAAAGTTGGCATGAACACAGTCCTGGGAGAATAAACGCCAGCCCTCCCGAATCTTCAAGTGCCCGGAAATGGATAAATTAACTATGGAGCTAAAAGGGAAAGCTGACATGGAATACAATGCAATATGGGAAAGATTGACAATAGACATAAGAATAGAAAATGTAAGTAAATAATGTATATAATAGTTATGAGGGTATGGAAGTAGTGTGTATTGAAACATTGGATAGGATGTATAAATGCATATATATATATTGGCACAGTATTGTTCAAATAGTAATAGTATTATGTATAAACAGAAAAACCCAATAAAGTGTTGCCAAAAAAAGAAAATAGTAATAGAAAGTTGGCGTGTGGGCGGGGTGGGCAGGCGGCCAGGCCTGCACAGGCTGACTTAGGAGGGAAGAGCAGAGAAAGAGAGGGAGGGAGGGAGCCCCCAGCCCTAAGGTCAAGGGTCACGGCAGGGAAGGGGTTCTGCTGACAGCTGCACTTTGTCTGAAGACCCCACCCCGCCTTCTCAGGGACAGAAACCGCAGGGCAAAACCAGGGTGCGAAGCAGCAGGAAGACCGTTTCCCTTTCCTCAGGCATTCATGGATGAAATCCCAGACTAACGATACGTACTTAAAAGCAAAAAAGCCCCACCTGAGTCATCAGCCGGCCCACCATCGTCACACAATCCAGCCTCTAAACCTGGTAGCACAGCGGGACCTCGGGGCCCAACACTGCTGGGGCTGCTCTAAGCCCAGGGATGCTCCCAACAGGCCCATGGCCAAAACAGGCGTGGAGGGGACCCTGGTGCGCCTCTGGCATCTCGGACGGATGGACAGACGGACACAATCCAGGGAAGGCTCCCGTCTTCCCAACGCAGCTGCAGGTGCTCAAAGGCCCGATGGCCGTGACCAGGCCTTGAACTAACCGCTGGCAGAGCAGAGGGGCAGGATGGCCACACCCGTTCCTCAAACAAGAGCCACCGTCCCGGGAGGAGCCCCGGGTGGCGCTCAGCCCCTGCTCAGGGGCAACGATGGCAAATCCCA